AACTAAAGAAACCTGGCCCGCTTTTCTACCAATTTGCGAAACAGAGAGGGCTGTTCTATCGCAACTTCTTTGTCTGAGCATACGCGACATTTGGGACAGCAAAGGTGGATTTTGGGTTCGCATTTTCTTTACATATATATCCTTTATTCCGCTGATGAACCTCTTTATTTTTACTATCTCAAGGTGCTCACCAGGTGAATGTCCAATGGCCAGATGAGCCAATCGTTCAATTGCGGAAGTATAATCATACAGAGATTCATAGGGCTATTGCTAGCGATTTATCAGCCTCATCTCCAGTTATTTGCTGTAGCAGTCTTTTCGAGGATGTCCTTCAATCTCGTTGACTTTGTCCTTGAGCTTATCTTGCCGTTCTTTTAGGATGCATTCCCTTCGACCAATTTGTCGTAAAGCTGTGTGAATTGGGATGAAATACGCGCATTCTGAGCGTCCATCTTTTGTGATATTTGGGCATTCTTCAACCAGTTGCTCCAAATCCTTCACTGAATCCCTAGCCCTCTACTTCTCCACACCCTTTGTGGATGTCTCTTCGTCAGCTTCAATTGCTTATTGCATTCGTGATTGTAGCTCCGCATTATTTCCAGTTGTGAATAATTCTCTCTTTGCAAATTCCCTTTTGTGGGGTTGTATCGCTAAATCCCGAACCTTAAGCGTTTATTATAATGACGATTCCCAAATCTTTCGACTTTACTACACACGACGATTTACATCCTTTCTTCTATTTTCACACAGTTTACTACCTTTACAAATTTCTATAACACAGTTTATTCCGCTGTACCCTACACCGATGTTATCGCCTCTAAGTTTGGTTTATCAGTGGCTAGCGTTGCCTTGGCGCTCTTATATGTATATCCAATTGATGGTGCTGGGTACGAGGCATGCTCTAACGATAGAATATTCGATACTCGCGTTTTAGCTATCGCCATCTCATTTTCGCCTTCATTCGTATTTGGTATTTTCGTTACAATATGTACATACATAATTATTTTGCATTGCATACTACCTTTCCGAGTAACATTCAAGATAATGGAAAATTAATTTATTTCGAAATACTTGTAAAAGCTGCTCGCAAAAATCCATCGACTGTTAAGAATCGGTTTAGAATAAACTGAAATTTATTTATTATTTATTCATTTTAATATTAATTAATAATAATATTAATTAATCTGATAATATACACTAATAATAATAATAATAATAGTAATAATGATTAACCACTTACGGTTTGATTTAATAATGAAAAAGTTTGAATGATTCTTCGTAATCGCTCGAATCACATTGACCTTCGGAGTGTGCAAAACTCTTATACAATACCGTTTTTCTTTTACAGTAATATATATATTTACCGATTCTCATTCTAAATTTTTATAAGAATGAAATCTATGGACTGACAACAAAGCAGTGCCTCGTACCAAGAAATTCTAACGGTTTCCACTACTAAAAATTCAGTACACGATAAATTTTAAACTAACTTTTCATACACAGCATGGCGAGTGTAACTAGTCATTGTGTTAAATGACATGAAAAGTCAATGACAATCCAGCGAGTATTACAGCGGTAATACACCAGACCCACGCATGACTCCCTTACCCACTGCAATACGAACGCTTCCCCGATAGACAAAACTACTCCAATTTAACCGCACCGGACTCCAGGTAAGATCTACGACGTCGACTTTACCGGATCGGAGTCCATGCTGGACAGTTACCGTTTATCAAGGGTAACATCAGCAGGGATACTACTCAAAAATGTCAGGGCACGGCTATCAAATCAGGCGCTATCGAGCTCGAACTATTTATTATATACATCCCTCCAGTTACTAGTTGCCAAGAGGGATGGAGCTGGGAGGCCAATATAGACGGTTCGACATTCTCATTGCAATTGCGAATGCTGGTATGAGAAACATCATAGCTTGGCGGCCTATGCTGATGATTGACAGGCCTCCCGACTTCGCTCTCTTGGACTACCGGACCATTCGTCTCTTATTTTCGCTGTTTGGCGCCAATTGAGAATATCAAGTACAGTTAGGTCCTTCTCTACCTGAACCTTCCAACGTAGTGGAGGTCTTCCTTTTCCTCTACTTCCACCAGCCTTTTTGAAGCTGGATTATTATTATCCATCCGGATCACATGACCGTATCCGCTGTTTTTCGATTCGCTGAGCTATGTCAATGTGGCCTTATATCTCGTACAGCTCATCGTTCTATCGGCTGCCGCATTCGCTGTTCCAAACTCGCAAAGGACTATAAACCTTACAATCTTACGCAAAACATTTCTCTATCGACCATGCTCCCGCAAAATATAGTATGATGAGCGACTTGTAAAATTTCAGTTCTTGTACTTTTCAATCACCTATTCAAAGTAGCACCTGTTGGGAAGTGTGATTCTGATTGGAGTGAACTAGTCTCTCCTTATTGAACAGCAAACTTTTAGTCAACAACTGAATATAATTCCCAATTGGAGAAAAATAATTTTTTTACGCATATTATGGGATAAATACGAAAACATTCTCTACCTGGAATAAAGCCCCAGAAATTATCACTTTAATTGATAACAGGTTATTCTAGCATTGTAAACAATTTGTTTTTTTCTTTTATATTGGACTTAATGTATTCATTCCACATGTCCTGAAAAATTTAAGTGGCGAATATAATATATATCAAGATAGAATATTACGTATTTATATAAAATTATCAGCATACATGTCTTTTATGGAATAATATTAATTTGACATAATGAACGGGGATATCTGATTCCCAGCTAGAGGTAAGCCGATTATTCATTTATCCGAGCCCGTGGTCATCGAAAAAGCCCTGTGGAGTCTCGTCCTAAAATGAATAGCAAATGATTTTACTCATAAGTTAGCGAACCGAGCACTATATAAGATTTTGTATGCATTGTGAAATTACAAGATTATAATATACAAATTTTCGATGTAAGAGAACTAAATCCTTATAGAAAGATAAACAGAGATAACATTTCTGAACGAAAAAAAAAAACAAATGTTTACGAAAATGTATTATATGGAAATAAACAATAAAAATATAGATACTTACAGATCGGGTGCACACTAAAAGCTCCAGCATAATTACACCAAAACCATTGAGAGACAAGTAGTAGTGAATAGTATAATTATAAAATAGTGGTTGTTATATTGTAGTTGAAGTAGTAAGTGAAAAAAAAACATGTTGATACAACACATTTGGATATAAATGCCTGGACACTAATTTGTGTATAATCTACGAAAATCGCTCGAATAACAACTTAAGCAAACAAGGATTAAAGATACAAAAGCATTTAACAATTATTGTATTTCGATTTTAAATCACCATTTTACAAAATATTAAGGTAATCAGTGCTTCAACCAAAAGGTTAGGAGAATAAGAAAGTTTTTTCTAAATTAATAACTCGTTTCAAGAATTTTGTCACATAACTTCCTATTAATTTTCGATTAGTTTTTAAATATTATATCTTAAGTGCTAAGTGAATGCTAGTAATTAGTTTGTTTAAACTTTTCGAAGAAATTTAAGGTATCGAGTTCAACTATACGAACAGATTTAATCTTTTTTGGTTAACAAAATAATATAGGCAAATACCTGTGTCACTTTTGATGGAATGGTAAGGCTCTCTTGTACAATTTCGAAGTGACCAGCGTTTTTTTATAATTAAAAAATAAAACATCATCACCATTACAAAGACTATGAATTTTGTATGTAAACAGTTTAATTCTCACTCCAAACTCTAAAGAAAATACGAACGTATATTAAATGCTTAAAAGCCACAAGAAATATTTTTGAAAATGCGTCCAATGTGCCAAACGAATGGTTGAAACTACAATATATTTAAAATTGCTTTTAGTTACTGAATTATAACAATTTTGGTTATTTGAAAACTTACCGTAATATGATAAATCGAGGCAGATTTATTTGATATTTGCCATTTTCGATACTAGCATGGCACACAAATCTTTGTTACATATCTAAGTGTAAACGTGTTAAGTTGTTTTTAGTGGACATTATACATTCTATAAACCCGTTTCCGAAATCCGGTGTCTCAACCATGAAATTCGATTAGGTGTAAATATAAGTATAATTTACATTTAAGTGCCTCATAAATACAGTAGTCAGCTGGATATTACTTTGGGCTTGGTATCTTACAAAGGTGTTGCACTAAATTAAATGCAAAACAAAAACAAGCACACATGACAGGAAAGGTAAATCTGCAAAGTAAATCTTTATTTTTGGAAACTTGGTCGTTTAACTAGTGGTCAAATTACACATATCAGTCTTTACGCAAACCTCGCAATTCTTCTTATATATGCATTTAATATATAAAATTCTCGTGTCACAGTGTTAAGACACGACATTCCTCCGAAAGGGCTTGACCGATTTTAATGAAATTTTTGTGCATATTCAGTAGGTCTGAGAATAACATAACACCTATTTTTCACACCGAGAAGAGGACCTGGTATATATAGATATATATACTACTTAATACTTTTAAATTTCTCATAACTTCTATTTGATAGCGATTTTTTTATAAGAAGTGAGGATGGAAAAATAAAACAATTTTTGTTTGGAAAATAAGATCTTCCAAATCTTATTAAAATGATCTGGCCATAAGCCGTCAACATTAACACAACCAGATTCGGTGTCCGTTATTTGTCAAATAATTTTTTTCTTGCAACGCCCTGTTGTTTTGCATTTGTATATTAAACCTTGCCTTGGATTTTTAAACTTTTTACATTTATATTAACGCACAGATATGAGAAGTATATATTATTTTAGAAAATTAAACGCCATATAATAATGCCACTATACATTTCCGATTAAATCCCTACTTCAAAAGATATAATATAATACATGCAAGTTGCTGTTTGTTAGGCCATTCAGCAACAACAACGAGCGTTCGCAAGTATCTTGTAATATTGAATAACTTTCGAAAGAGCGAATTTAATGCATTAAGAAATTTTGAATCGATATGTCTAAAATATTTCCATGTGAATCTTTATTTAAATATCTTCAAGAAAGCATAATTACAAATAATACTGTACCAACAATTCACCTAAGTTTTTTAATATGTTTATACTGTTGAAGTGCTAATTTTTTTGGAGTCAAGTTCATAGAAACTTACATTTAACAAATATATTTATAACAATTTACGGTTTAAATACAGCATAGCAAAAAAAAAATATGTAGACATTAAGTCATAAAACAGAAACTATATTGCACAGGTAAGGATTTAATTACATTTTAATTGGGACATTTGATTTGAACAGATTTAGTTAGGATAGCTATAATATGTACAATCCTATAAAAAGTAAGAACTCTCCGCTTTGCAATAATTAAACTATTGATAAATGTTTTTTTTTAGAATTTCTTACAATTTCTACAGTAGTCCAATGTCTCTTAAAGTGCCCTCAACAGCTTCATCCTAGAGTACACAAAAAAATAAAGTGAGTGTGCAATGTGAACATACATGAATATGGCAAAAAAAGAAGATTTAAACATTAAAAACATTAGGCACACTAAGGTTTCAGTATTAAGATCAGAATTAGATATAAAATATTTTAAAGTAAATAAATGAAATAAATGTTGTCCCAATGTTAAACGTATGATGATTGACGATACAAGAATGTAACATTTGTAACAAATGCGGAAAGTAGATACAATGGTGACGACCCCACACATACCATGAGCATAAGAAGTTTAAAAGTTGCTAAACACATATGAATTAAGCTAGGATTGTAATTATGTACAGTAATTAGAGATTCACGTAGGAAGCAAACAAGGGTTTTAAAAACAACTTGTAACAATTTTACCCAAAATTTATATGACTAGAAACAAAATAAGAAATCAATTTAAGTATAGTTTACAGTTTCAATGAAATTGGTAACTTGAGAGCCAAATAGCTGTTTGTCTCCTTAGGTCTATGTATCCGCTCCATTAAACTTCAAATTTCGGTCAGGTAGGCTCAGTGAAAAAATGGGTTATGAATGGGCTTATATTTTCGTCAACCAAATACGTATAAAAAAATTTAATTAATGTCATTGTAAGTCTTAAGTTACATATCTAAAATATTGTGATATACAGTATCACTAACAAAAAGAACATCACCTAAGAGTATATTTGTGGAAAGCAAAACCAAAAAAAGAAAATATATTGGACATCAGTTTGGTGAAAAAAAAACTATCAAAATCGGACTACACTGAATGAATCAGGCGTACGTAAAAAATACAAGCGTCTACTTAAGATTCACTAACATGTTTTGGACGGTCGGTCATTTTTTACACTTTCTCCGTTAGGTTAAAAATGTAATATTTTTATTAATAAAAGCACGACTGTCATTAAAAAACGTAAGCCAGTCCGAATTTTAAACAAATTGTATAAATTATTTACACCCTACATACTTAAAACGTCTGTAAGAGTAAGCACTATGTTGTGCCAGGAGCCCAATTATAATTTTAAAAAGGCAAACAAAAATAAATTTAACTTTAACTTGTTCTTGAATGAAGAGCAATAAACTGAATGCGAGGTGTGACAATTAAGTAATGAGACTGCTTCCATAAAAACAGTATATTTCAAAATTATTCTACAATTCTGCCATCCTTTTCAAAGTAGTCCCCTTGGGCAGCTACAACGATTCGAGCGCGTTTTCCACGCATCGTAACATTTCTGGAACGCTTCGACTGTGATGTCCGCGAGTACTCGCGTCACGGCCGCCTGGATGTCGTCAATTGACTCAAAATGGGCTCCTTTGACAACCGATTTTGTTCTATTGAACAAAAAAAGTCACAGGGTGACATATCGAGCGAATAAGGCTGTTGTTGCAACACGGCGATTCCTTTAGAGGCCGAATACTGGGACACGCTGAGGGCATGCCTCTCGTAAGAGGCAACTAAAATCAAATTGTTCCCGCGACAGTAGGGTCTTTATACCGATCGACCCAGATTTTTATCCGGCCAAGGACTGTCACTCCTGCAACATTAACAAAAAAGTACTTTTGGGAATATTTTTGAGGTTACAACAACAAAAACAACAATTTTAACGTACGTTTCCAAAGCGGTTTCGCCCAATTTGGCGCAAAATTTTATCGCGACGCGTTGCTCTTGATTTCGTTTTTCCATTTTCGTGACGAGCACCACGACACTCAACACGACACAGCATGCGAACTAAACAAGCTAGAGCTATGGTAATTTCGCAATGTTACCACAATCACGGCATTATAATCAGGCTCATTACTTGTCACATCTCGTATGTTACTATCAATTCCAAGCAATACTTAACATTTATTGCAATAGTTTACTCATATGTGTATATGATTTTTGCAAATACAATTTGGTTCCTGCAATTTTTATAATAATACTATTGTATCTGTCACTTACTCCCCCAGCTGACTACTCGTCCTCAGCTAAATATTAAAATCAATAGATTTTATTCTTTTTCTATTTCGTTTACAACATTACATAATATTGCTTAAAATGTATAACATAATTTGTTAGTAAATGAGTAAAAGTGTTTCCAAACCATTGTTAACTTTAACAATATATTTATATAATTAGTAATTCTGTATGCAAACGTGTATATGTTAGTGTGATCTATACGTTATAATATTATATATTAATATATACAAGTAAATATTAAATATAACATTTAATTCAAATACTCATTGAAATCCTTTTGTGGTTGCGAATCGTATACGTCGTTATGGCGGGGTAAGCATTAATTGTAATGAATCACAATAATGTAAAGAAAAAGGGTTAAACATTTTTAATATGAATTTTCGACTTTTGTAAAGCATAAAGGTGTATGTTAATGAAAAATGAAGTCTATATAAATATAAAAAAACATCTCGGTAGTTAAAAATTTAACAGACGGTTCACAAGAAAAAGCATCGTGCAAACAAAATGAAATTAAATATGCAACAAAACAGGAAAATACAACATTCTCAAATCAGCATATTTTGATAAACAGTACACTGGTATTGTTTGCTAATGTAAGTTATGAACATTAATGAAAAATGCACTTGGAGATATTTTCATATGAATCTGAAAAATTTATTGAAGCGAGATAACATAAAACATATTTATCAGTTACTCTTGAAGCAAAACTTCCGAGAAAAAAAATTTTCATATTGTCATGCGCTTTTATACAGTAAATACTAATCAGGAGTTAACAACAGTTATTCATGCTTAGCCTTAAAATTTTATTTAGCTGCCATTACGGCTATACATTTTCTATATGTACGTAGAAGTTATTAGAAATTATAACGAAACTTTCACAGTTTTATGCTTAATGGCAAGACAAGTACGGGTTTGTTATTGTACATTTTTTTAAATTTTTACGAAGCATTTATTGGGTCTTAATTTTTATAAAATTTGGTATTATGTATTCATAAGCAATAAACACTAATAAACAATAAAGGGCTCCAATTTTTTAACATTTATATTTAATGCATCAGATCATAATATAGACATGCATTCATGCTGCTCTTTGCAAACAGAAATAAAAAAATATTACATGTTTAGAATTTGCTATAAGTTAACTATTTGTATTTAACATTTCTAAGTTATACCTAAAAAATATGTCAGTAAGTCATTTATGTAACAATATTAATAATATTAACTTCAGCTGAAAGCATTACAATCAATGTATTGTGTAGAAGAATTCCTCTTTCTTAAAGGTTCCAGCATTGTATATATATTATAATCATTTAAGAAATAAAACAAATTTAACGTTGCGAATATGTAATTAACAGCCGAAGATCAGGATATATTTGATGTAGTGTTTTGATATAAAAATTAAAAAAATAGACGTAAACATTTTGAAAATAACTGACGTACAGCGGCACATGTATAAAAATGAAGGAAATCTGATATATCAGGGAATTTTAATATTATGATGAAAATCCAAGTATGAAATTTCGCAAAAGGATACACAAAACACATACAAAAACAGGGAATGCTATGCAGAATATTGATATTGTTACACATAACGCTGAGCTTCAACCAAAAAATTTTTAAGTTCAGTAAACAAATTCAAATGTTAATAATAAAAAGAATTACACTATGGAAATGTCTATTTATATAACGAATATGTATGCCCTCTCTTCTACCTTTATTTAAACATAATATTTTACTTTTTACAAATCATATGCTTCTGGTGTACTGACCTCTTGTAGCAGATCCTGGGATGCTATTGCTTTGAGCACATTCTTTTTCGATGTCTCCTGTATTTCTCCACCTATTAACAGTTCATCCAGTATGAAGTAGGCCTTTTCAAAATTGAAAATTATGTCCAATTCACAGACCTTAATAATAATAATGTATGTAATAATTCATAAATAGGGAATCCTGACGTTATTTATTTTTCTAAAGTATACTAAAAGATTACTGCTACACATCAGACACTTACACTTCCGAAATATTTATCCAACAACTCAACGTAACGATGAATAATTTCAAGGGTTAGCAATTCATTATCATTCTGTTCAATAGCGCAACAAAAATATAGACTCGCATACCTAAAAATATTACAATATCAATAAGTATCAAATTATTTCAAGAATATTAATAAATATATTATCAAAATCAAAAGACAAATAAACACCTAAGCTTAAAGTTCAGAAAAGCTTTTATATCAGAAATAGTTAAAGACATAATTTATGAAAAAGTCGTGATTGTTCATAACTTTAAAAAAGGGTAAGAAAATTAGAAATATTTTAGAAACAATATTGTTAAAAAATGATTAAAGAAACCATTCATAAATGATTTTTTTGTCAGAAGAGTACCCTGCCCACGTTACTTCTTGAATATAATATAATATCGAGTTATACTTTTCCTAATTGTTTTCTGAGAGAAACCAACTTGTTAGATGTATATTTACATACATATGTATGTGTGTGTGCAAATGCAACAAACAAAAATAGTTTTTCCTTAAGGACGAAATCTTTGTCATAATAATATAACTAAATTATTATAAATACCGCTTGTAAACAATTTTGCAATCTTTCCACTCCAAAAACGAACACATCTTAGGTTTACGTGCAAGAATTGTAGTCACCAACTCACGAGTAATTTTCTTTTTTACTTTATCAGGATAGGCCATATACCATTTTTGTAATCGCAATTTTCCTTGCCTACTGAACAGTAACATAAAAAGCATCTAAAATACGCGGAAAAATAGAAAACAATACAATATTCATTTATTTCGTAAAATATTAGAATAATGTGTATGATGAAGCGTGTCAGTCCGCTCCTCCAAATAATACAATAATCATAAGCTTCTAAAGAATGTTTGTCTATCATTCTAGCAAAAGAGTTTATTATAATTACCATCTTTAATGCATGTACTACGATATTAGAATAGTGGAGAAGTGCTAGTTTTGCTTTTATACTTTAATAACCATTACTTATCGGAAATTGTAAAATCTTATTCACCGACTACGGACTAAGGTTAGCGAAAAACTTTAATAATCGATATTCGCAAAATTAACCTATATAACTAGTTGACTGCACGAATGTAAATTCAATTACGATATGATAGCGACGGCGACCAAAGAACGTATATGAATAAGAAGCGGCATGTACGAGACCGTCATTGGCTTTTCCAGAAAGAGCGTAAATTGAAGGACCGATCTCAGGAATTCGCGTCCTCTTCACACCATTCGTACAGAGGTATTCGTATAAAGGTTCAATTGCGGAACAGCGTGTAAACTGTCAAAAGCTGCCAAGTTACGATGGATGCATTTCACCACAGACCGCCAGAAACTAACAGAGTTTGCTATTGATGAATAACATTACTGAGCGTAGAAAAATTATATATGCTCAGAAATGTACAGATCTGCTTCTCGTTGTATTTACGTTCTCTGATATACGTTCTTTGGAATTATCTATGTTGACGATAAATTGTACTGTTGTAGTGGGTGATTACAAAATTATCGAAAATCATTCTCTTTCGAATAGGAACTTTAATTTTATTATCTCTAGAGCGAATTATACTCTGATTGAAGAATTGCAGTGTGTTCCATAGGTGTGCGTAATTTGTCTTGTTAAATATTATTTTTAGTGGTGTCGTGATCGGTAAAAACGAATATGACAATCAAACTAACAGCCAACATAAATAACCCACCAATAAGTAAGTTTTACAAAATTGTAATTTAGAATTTTTCGGTTATAACCTATTTATACAGAGTTTCACGGTGCTTTTTCCTTCCGTAATTACGCCCCTATTTACAAACATAAATTTTTAATTTATAGGTGGATTGGCAACTGCTCATCTCATAAGCGAAACTGTAGCTATTCAGATTGTTTGGGGTAATGAAACATCACTACAATTTCCGGATAAACGTCAATTCCTTTGTCACTCTAACAATGATGTGTTAAGGGCACTGGCACGTGTGGCACCCGAGTCCAAGCTATATGGAGAAACTGCTATCGAACGAACCCAAATTGATCATTGGTTGTCATTTTCATTAACGTGTGAAGATGACATCTCTTGGGCTTTATCGTTTCTTGAAAAATCAATTGCCCCAGTTACGTATTTGGTGGCTAACAAATTGACCATTGCTGATTTTGCTCTTTTCAACGAAATGCATGCTCGTTATGAATTCTTGTCCGCAAAAGGTTTACCGCAACATGTACAACGCTGGTACAATTTAATAAATGCGCAGCCTTTAATACAAAAAGTTCTGAACGCATTACCAGAAGAGGCACGCTCCGCAGCCAAACGAGCTAAACGGAGCAATGGTGTTAAATTAAGTGAAAGTGAAAACTCAGCTGCGCATGAACAAACCAAAACAAATGAACGTAAACAAGAGGGTAAATTCATTGATTTGCCTGGTGCCGAAATGGGAAAAGTTGTGGTACGATTTCCTCCAGAAGCGTCTGGGTACCTCCATATAGGGCATGCCAAGGCAGCATTACTAAATCAATACTATGCCTTAAATTTCAATGGAAAACTAATAATGCGGTTCGATGATACAAACCCTGCGAAAGAAACTGTCGAATTCGAAGAAGTAATCCTTGGTGATGTGGATTTGCTACAGATTAAACCAGATATTTTTACCCATACCTCCAACTATTTTGAATTAATGTTACAATATTGCGTACAGATGATTGAAGAGGGCAAAGCATATGTGGATGACACACCAGCAGATAAAATGAAACTAGAGCGTGAACAACGAGTCGAATCGACGAATCGCTCAAATGGTAATTTCCTTAAATTATAGTTTAAACAAAATCTGATAATCTGATAATAAAATATAAATATATACACTTAAAAATGTTACTATTACAGATGTAGAAAAAAATTTAGCCTTATGGCAGGAAATGGTCAATGGTACCGAAATAGGTCAAAAATGTTGCGTTCGCGCGAAAATTGATATGTCTTCCCCGAATGGGTGTATGCGCGACCCAACCATATACCGTTGCAAGAATGAGCCTCACCCACGCACGGGAACTAAATACAAGTATGTATAAGATTCAATTTAGATCTGTTTTTAAAATGACTAAGCTTACAAAATTTAAGGGTGTACCCAACATATGATTTCGCGTGCCCAATTGTTGATTCGATCGAAGGTGTTACTCATACGTTACGTACTATGGAATATCATGATCGTGATGATCAGTTTTATTGGTTTATCGATGCACTTAAATTAAGGAAGCCACACATATGGGAGTACAGTCGTTTAAATATGACAAACACCGTATTGTCTAAACGTAAATTAACTTGGTTTGTGGAATCAGGATTAGTTGATGGATGGTAATGTTGTTGTGGTATAGTATAACTTTTGGAACAATCATAACTAAAATAAAAAAATTACAGGGATGATCCCCGTTTTCCGACTGTTAGAGGGATAATTCGTCGTGGTATGACAGTAGAAGGGCTACGTGAATTTATCATTGCTCAAGGATCAAGCAAATCGGTGGTATTTATGAATTGGGATAAAATATGGGCATTTAATAAAAAGGTTATTGATCCGATCGCTCCTCGTTATACTGCGATAAATTATGATAATCGCGTTGTAGTCAATGTAGCAGGCGCCAAACTGGAAAAAGTTGAAGTACCTGTTCATCCGAAAAACGAAAGTCTTGGAAAGAAAACTGTTACTCTGGGGCCACGTATATATATCGATTATGAGGATGCTGAAGCCTTAAAAGAGGGCGAAAATGCTACTTTCATAAATTGGGGTAATTTACTAATAAAAAAAATCCACACGGATAAATGCGGAAAAATAGCTGGTGTTGATGCCGCTTTAAACTTGGATAACAAGGACTTTAAGAAAACACTAAAACTCACTTGGTTAGCTGTTGAAGATGATGAAGCTAATTATCCACCCACATTTTGCGTATACTTTGATAATATTATAAGTAAAGCAGTTTTAGGCAAAGACGAAGACTTCAAACAATATATTGATCATAAAACTAGGGTAAATATTGAATTGCCTAATATTAATTTAAACCTAATATTAAGTTAAACTGCTTCAATTATGTTCTTACCAGGAGGAAATCAAAATGCTTGGCGATCCAGAGCTTAAAAAGTGTAAGAAAGGAGATATAATCCAGCTTCAACGTCGAGGTTTCTTTAAGGTAGATGTAGCTTATGCACCACACAGTCCGTTTTCCAATGCTGTTACACCGGTCATACTATTCTCTATACCAGACGGTCACACTAAAGATGTACCTTCATCAGGCTTGAAAATAAATAATAACGAGATTAAAAACGTAAGTAGTAGAAGTAGAAAAATTGCTGAAAGTTTTCCTAAACTGAAATCCAATATATAAAAAAACCTTTCTGAAAAATATTAATATTTTTTAAATTGATTAAAAAGTTTTGGTACTTACGTGCAAACGCCACCGTAACTACAGATTTTGCGATATTCTGCGTCTGTCCCGACAGGGTCCAGGTGGCCGAAGGCCAAATTTTTTTAAGCAACGCTTTTATGATAACCATATTGACGTGATACGCGACGGGTATTATATCTCGAATTTAATAGATCCTCCATCTGACACTATTAGAAGGCCAAGAGGACTATGTGCGGCATATTAACACTCCAGTATAACCTCCTTCTTCCTTACTCGCCTAGGCACCGCTTACGCCATTATAACCGAATTTATAACATTGCGTCATTCATTAATTCTTTTCGCTGTTTGGAGGTACTTGGAGATACCAAGTACAGCCAGGTCGCTTTCTACCCGGTCTTTTCAACGAGCAGACCCATTCCTCTACTTCCACCCGCGGGTACTGCATCGAAAACTTCCAAAGCTATATCAATGTCGCCGTCTATCTCATTATTCCATCGTCTACGGTATTCACCGTTCCCAACTCTTAGAGGACTGTAAATCTTACGCAAAATCTTTCTCTCGAGGACTTTAATTTTCAATTGCCTACTCATTCCAAAGTTACACCTGTTGGCAAGAGTGATTCTGCGTTGGATTTCCACGCTGACACTGTTGTTTCGTCTTGCCCTCGTTTACTACCAGCCCCTGATTTCTTCCCTGCGTGCGACTCCATTATAAAAATTATTTTTGGATGTTGGTCGAACCAGGACCCGAGCCATGTCCTTCCCAATAGCAGTACACATTGCTAACCACTTGGCTATTGCGTCAGCCAATGATATTGCCAGATTATAAAATAAGCAAATCCGCTTGGTGGGCCTTGTTGGGTCTTCCTATTGCAATGAGATTTTTAAAGAATTCAGACTTCGATTTGCCGGGAAAGATTTAAGAATTAATAATCCTACCAATCTTTGTAATCGTTTTTTAATAATGTTAGACCCAGTTATAAAATCTTTGTGGTATAAGTTTCATATTGAAGTAAAGCATTTGTTGATAACGACGAAGGAGTACAGGCTTGACTCAAAAATTCCGACGGTAAATAACCCAAAAATATTGGGAGTAACACTAGACAGCCTGCACTCCTTCACTCCGCGCCCTGGCGCCTGGGCTAAAGACAAAGAAACATTGCTGGCTACTTATAAAGCAATTGGTCGGCCGGTCGTAAACTATGTTGCACCGATCTGGGCGCCGGGACCGAACGAGACGCAGATGAAGAAGCTACAGCCTTTCCAGGACACCGCCCTCAGGACCGCGACAGGAAACCTCCTGATGTCGCCGGAGCATCACTTGCACAGCGAAGCATCTATGCTTCGAGTTAAGGAGCATAATGCTTTGCTGTGCAAGCAGTTCCTATTGGGATGCTACCGCAGGGAGCACCTATAGGCACCTAATAGAAGCTGAACCTCCACCTAGGCACATCAGAAAGGGAGTACTAGACTTAAAGGACACAATTCAGCAACATGTACAACAACCGCTGGACAGGACGGCGTACCGACAAGCACTGAACACCATTCACCAGGAGTCAGTCAACACCTTCAATATAGCAGACAACAAGCTCGCGCTGCCTCGGTAGGAAATAAAATAAATTCGTATTAATTTTTACAAAGTTTTTCAAGGAAAAGTGGCCTTCTTTATTAAAGAAATATTTTGCGGATCTAAATTGACATAAAAAGTTTTCACATTTTGTGGACTTTGAAAGGTATAATATTTTGAATGGACAATGAGAAAATAACCTCAATCAGTTTAAAAATGTTTAATATTTGCATTATCTTCTGAATAAGAAGATTTTAAAAAAACTTATTTTCCGACAGTAGATATTAGTCCCAGGAAGAGTAAATATACAGTTTTTATACCATTCGATTCACTGAACAATTTTAAATCAAATGTCTAAATTTGAAGAAGGGATCTCAATAATATAGAAAATTAAAGCAATGCGCGTGTTTAAGCACTTTTATCCCATCGTGCGGCGTACGCCAGCAGCTATACACTTTTACAGAAGATTGTACCTTCTCTATTCAGCTCTGCAACTCTTATTATTTTCTCCAGTAATAAATTAAAAAAGTCACATGATAAACCACCTTGTCTAAAACCTTGTTTGGTATCTAACGACTCAAAGAGGTCCTTCCCGATCTTGACGGAGCCTTTAGTGATGTGTGTCGATCCTTATTCCACGGTTCTTTTTCAAGATTTGGCCATGGTGAATATGTGGTCGATGGTAAGCTCAATAGAACCGTATATGCGTGTTGCTTCTCTGTTCGGCTCTCGGTATCTATACCACCCCGCACGTGTTGTGGTCGATGTCAAGGTTGGGAAGTAGGCAGTATGTTTTCTCTCCACTGCAGTTTGAGATTCCTCATCGTACCAGCGGTATGCAAAGAGTTCCACAGTTCCCTTATAGCAAGTTGCTGATGAGTGCTCTCAGAAAGGAGATGTGCAAGCTGAGTAAAAAATCGAAAAGATAATGATTCGAGTCGATTTTATGACCTCGGAAGGTACGTACGTCTAAAACACTGGTTACTTGTCTTCCGTCATCGGGCAGCGCTCATAAGCATGTTCTAGGCGCTCGTAAAAAGCATCCATTGCCACATCATCCTTCTCTTCCGTCGGGCGTGGGCGCAAATCAACGATGCGCTAAAAAAATTTTGCTTGGATTGTGGGATTGTGGCGAGACGGGGTCTCTGTCCCACCACAAATCCGACACCAAATTTGCGCTCCTTTACATGGTCGCTATATATTACACGACAAGAACCCACCTTCTTCTGTCCTTCGCACTTCTGATACAGCTTTTAATTTTATTTGGACATCTACCAGCTGGGCAGCTCTTTCCCAATTAAACTCGTAATCTTTAGATCATTTGCGGGGTCGTCGTCGGTTCAATCCTCATCAAAAAGGGGAGTCTCATCCTACGTTTTTTTTTATTTTTCATTGGAGTTTGTTTTTCGTGTGGTGGGTCACAAACCGCATGGGATTGGGCTTCTCAAATGTTTGTTGGCTACCCAAGGAATACTTGGTCGAAGGCCGGAAGTCGTGAGCTGCTTGCACCATATGCAAAGAATGGATTCCCAGGTGAATGACTGTCAAAAACTTTAGTCATTTGTGTGAGCATCTACACATGGCCCCATCCATCACAGTCATACCTATCTCTGCGTATTTTCAAATGATAGAAATTTTTGTCAATATGTCGGTGAGCCCAAAAATCCGTAAAAAAAATAAGAATTTTAAGTACAGTAAAAAGAGTAGTTTTCCAGTTAATCCTAGCAAACCGAATTTCTAGTAAATTGAGTAAATTGATAAATAAGACTTTTCGAATATTACAATCCCTAGTCCAGTCAATCGGTGGATAACTTTTCGAGATATGCGGATCTTAAGAAACGAACGCAAGATTTCCATATACTTATATTTAGATAGATGTATGTATTTCTAAGTTCGAATATTTGGCTATTCGCAGTAGCCTACTAGTATGATCGACATGACCTTCGCATCTACTTGTATAAGTCTACCTCACTTCGAATATTAAAATATACAGAAGTATGCAAGCTTAATTACTTAGCATAAAAACTAGCTGGTTTTGGATACTAATACAGTTTGTTGTTTTGAATACACATAACCCATACATATACGAGTATGTTAGAATAAGTTGAAGTGGGAAATTATCTAAAGAGTATAAAAATTTTACTTTAATCATCTACGATTTGAATCAGCACCAATCAGTCAAAAACAGGTTTGTGAATAACTTGGATCTTGAATCTACATCTACAGTTAGGAAAAAAAGTGAAACAACGAAGCTTTTTAGTGTCAAAAAAGCCCAGCAATTTAGACAGAGCTTCTTTCGTTGCGACACGTTGTACATAGTAGCTTTGTTGTTGCTATGATTGTTATGCTCTCAACAAGCTTCATGTTGACGTCGACAAACGAAATAAACTTCTGTGGAATCAGTAAATACTTGTGCAGTATATCTACATAATTCGTTTGTGTTGTGTTATAGTTTTCTTTTTAATTAATATAATTATTAATTTTTAGAAAAATTTTGATATTGTTTTCAACACATGGACATTTTTGCATATTTATTTATGTATATATATATATTCATTATTTTACTGCTTCAATTTCAGGTAAATACGACTTCTAAAGCAAACTTCTCATTGCTGGACCAAAAGATCGCTGAACAAGGAACTATTGTGCGAGATCTTAAGGCGAGCAAAGTTGCCAAGGAGAAAATTGATTCAGAAGTAAAGAAGCTGCTAGTACTTAAAGCTGAATACAAAGCAGCAACAGGCAAGGAATGGAAACTAGGTCAAAGTGTACCAGCGACCAGTCTTTCCGCAGCTCCCTCTGACGTTGGAGTAATTAATGCAAATATAGTTAAGCAAGGAGATTTGATAAGGAATCTGAAAGCGAAAAAAGCACCAAAGGCTGAAATAGACCAACAAGTGAAGACACTCCTGGAATTAAAAACTCAATTTAAAGCTTCCACTGGTAAAGACTGGCAACCTAATACCGAAGTACCATCTATAAATCCACCCGTCAATTCACTATCGTCTGCAGACACAGCTGTTGAGGAAATACTAAATAAAATAACTAATCAAGGTGACAAAGTTCGTCAACTAAAATCGCAGAAGGCTGACAAAGCGTTTGTTGAAGCAGAAGTGAAAATATTGCTTTCCCTAAAAGCTGAATATAAGAAACTTACAGGCAGTGATTGGAAACCAGGAGCAATTACACCAGCTATTGTTAAGAAGGAAATATCTCCGGAACAACCGTCACCAAGAATAGTTTCAGATTTGCTCACGAAAATATCAAGTCAAGGCGATAAGGTTCGTCAACTCAAGAATACAAAAGCAGAGAAAAGTGTAATTGATGCTGAAATTAAATTATTGTTGGCGCTTAAGACAGACTATAAAAATCTTACCGGACAAGAGTGGAAACTTGGAACTGTGATTCCACCTACAGCTACAATTGAAACAGTTAAAATTGACTTGACCAATAATGAAAGCTCAGATATCTGTAGTCTTCTCAACCAAATAAGTTATCAGGGTGATAAGATTCGAAATTTAAAGAAAGAAAAGGCATCAAAGGCCACAATTGATATTGAAGTTCAAACATTGTTAGCACTGAAAGCTAATTATAAACAACAAACTGGTAACGATTGGACACCCAACTCTAAGATTGAACCGCGGAAGGTTTCTAGCGTTGAAATAGTTTCGGAAATTATGTCTGCTTCACCGGTAAAAGAATTGCTAACCAAAGAGATTAATGATCAAGGAGATAAAGTACGAGCAGCTAAATCGGACAACTTATCAAAAGAGAAAATCGATGAGGAAGTGCAAAAACTGCTCACACTAAAAGCAAAATATAAAGAAGTTACTGGCACAGATTTTCCAAATGCTGGTGGAAGGGTTAGTGCCAAATCTTCAAAAAAAGGAAACGAAAAAAAAAGTAGTACGGATAAGAAGGAAAATGTTACGAACAAAGAAGAAACTAGCTTACCTAAAGGTGGAGTAAAAAAGCAAACGCGTCTCGGACTTGAAGCTACAAAAGAAGATAACCTGCCAGAATGGTATTCCCAGGTACATAGACGGTTCAAAAGAATTACTCGATGTTGTCATCTTATAAAATTTTCATGTTATTTAGGTACTTACGAAAGGAGAGCTTATTGAGTATTACGATGTGTCTGGTTGTTATATTTTGCGGCATTGGTCATTTGCTATTTGGAAGTTTATTAAAACTTGGTTCGATGCTGAGATCACTAAAATGGGTGTTAAAGAATGCTATTTTCCTATTTTTGTTTCAAAAGCGGCACTCGAACGGGAGAAATCACACATCGCTGACTTTGCACCGGAAGTAGCGTGGGTAACGAAATCTGGGGTTTCTGAGTTAGCTGAACCCGTTGCTGTGCGGCCTACATCGGAAACGGTTATGTATCCAGCGTATGCAAAATGGATTCAATCCTATCGTGATTTACCTATACGCTTAAACCAATGGAATAATGTTGTTGTAAGTATATGGAGTTAAGTTTTTAACCACTCAATATCATTTGCGCTGTACCTTATAGCGCTGGGAATTTAAACATCCACAGCCATTTTTGCGTACTCGGGAGTTTCTATGGCAAGAAGGTCACTCAGCATTCGCCACAAAAGCTGAAGCCGATCTCGAAGTACTCGAAATTCTAGATCGTTATGCTCTCATTTACACCTATCTTCTTGCAATACCAGTAGTAAAGGGCCGTAAAACCGAAAAAGAGAAATTTGCTGGCGCCGATTATACTACCACCGTAGAGGCTTTTATTTCAGCATCGGGTCGTGCCATTCAAGGTGGTACCAGCCATCATTTAGGTCAAAATTTCTCAAAAATGTTCGAAATCGTATATGAAGATCCCGAGACACAACAAAAGCAGTTTGTATTCCAAAACTCTTGGGGAATAACTACTCGTACAATTGGTGTAATGATTATGGTACATGCAGATAATCAGGGATTGGTGCTCCCACCACGTGTAGCGTGTATACAGGCAATTATAGTGCCTTGTGGCATAACGGTGAACACGAAGAGCGATGAACGTGAACAGTTACTACAGGCATGCAAAAAACTTGAAGCTCAGTTGGACGCAAAGGGTGTCCGCTGTGAAGGAGATTACCGGGACAATATTTCTCCTGGATGGAAGTTCAATCATTGGGAATTGAAGGGAGTTCCAATTCGTATCGAACTTGGTCCAAAAGATATGAAAGCTAATCAAATTGTTGCAGTACGACGTGATTCCGGTGAGAAACTTATTTTGGCTTTGGATGATGTAGAATCGAAAATCGTCCAATTATTGGAAACCATACAGGACAGCATGTTGGAAAAAGCGAAAAAAGATATGGTTAGTCATACAAAACTAACGAAGAATTGGTCGGATTTCTGCAAGTTTTTAGATGCTAAAAACATTCTTCTTTCACCATTCTGTGGTGAAATCAGTTGTGAAGATAAAATAAAGGGAGACAGTGCAAGGTTCGATAGGGATAATTGATATTTTTGCCAGATTTAACATTTTACATCATTGCAGAGACGAGGAAGCTGAACCTGGGGCTCCGGCTATGGGTGCTAAATCACTTTGTATACCATTTGAGCAGCCCGCAGCAATTACACCGAGCGATAAGTGCATTCATCCAAGTTGCACTAATAAGCCTAAATTTTATACATTATTTGGACGCAGTTACTAATATTTGTTTCGTCTACAAATAATAAGATGAGATATTTTCAACAAGGTCGGAAAGAATTAACAAAAAATAAGGTGATAATTTAATTATTGAAACAGTTTAATTTATAAATCAATAAACTATTTGCTAAAAATAAAAGAAATCATCATTTAAGTGCACTGGTACAGTTTACATAATCTCATTTGTTAGAGTTTATATAATTTGACCCTCATCGGTCCCTTGAAAATTATAACTAATCAGCCCCTGTGTATGCGCCCGCATAGACACAGCTTTTCACCTGTAAAAAGATTCTATAAAAAAACAATGTATGTTATGTGACTTTTTAACTTTATTAGATTGTTTTCCATCATAATGAACAAAAATTGAGAAAGATTCACTTGATAAAAAAATACGAAATAGAAAATCGCCATATGTGAAAAAAAAAAATAAATTTTTTGGGTATTTTTCATTTGTTTGCACATTTTTCTCAAAAATTATAATGATGATCAGCACAAACAAAATTGGTACACTTGTCACAACGTGTAGCAAAAACATTTTTATTCTTCTTGTATGTGCAGATGTAGCAACGGCCTCTTTTCATAGTATTTGGCAAATGACAAATCGGCCGCATTTCATCGCAAATAGCAGCAGCATCGCTACTTTGAGGTCGATTTTTACGTTTTGTGATGTGTTGCCTGACAAGAGCCATTCCTAGCTCCTTAATGAAAAGTCGACGACGAATATTGTGATGGGATTTATTATTCTTTTAGCTCGGAAACAATGAAGTAAACGTAACAAATGCATTCAACGTCTAACATCATGTATGTGATTTTTCGTTTGCATATGTACGTAGCCACCATTTCATCCATTGTAAAAAAATTAACCGTTAAATTTTCTTGTCTTCGATAAGGTTCGGTTTCTTCTTTTCAGTCTGTTCATTTATGCTTACAAAATTGTGGTATGTACTCAGCAATGTGACAAATCGGTAACGGCGAGGAATATATGACAGCAGAACCGCCTGCAATTTGTGATCATACCCGATTTCAGTTGAATATATTGGCTTTCGACGCATATCAACTAAGACAGAAGGAATTTCAGTCCTATTTTTTCGAGTCGTTCCCAAAATACTCATACGATTTTTATTCAGTTTCTCCGCCAATTCATATGAAGTGAAAAAGTTGTCGCATGTAACATTCCAAAATCCATGACAACACGCCGTCCGAGATTGCGTTCAGGAGTAGTATTTCGATCACGACCAACATAAACTTGTGTGCTGTATGCTGAGTCAAATATTCACCGTACGACCGATATACACCAGAGTGCAACAACAATTCAAAGTAGTCATGCAGAGTGTTCATTTCAATGTTTTGCCATTCATTCTTGTATTTTCGTACACCATATAAATTCGTCATATTCAAAATAATTTTCTCAATTGGTCTAACAAACATATGAAATGCAGACGAAACATCAACAATATTAGCAGCTGCTATTTTGCTTTTGGAACTGAATACATAACAAAAATGAAGCAAACAATCAGGATTTGAACATAACGCATAAAAATGGACATGAAAACGAAAAATGGGTATGTATCGGCATCCGAGAGCTGCAATGCGTATACCATTTACGCTCACACTCGAATCAACATTCTGATTTTCTTTGGTACGAGTCGAGTAGGTTAATCGTTTTTATTTTTAAATTCATTTAAAGGCAATCAATTATAATTGTAGCAATGTTATAATAACGGCTAATTTTGTTCGGTTAGAACTAACTAGTTTTTTGATAACAGGGCATCCAAATTAAATCCTGAAAATACCAATTTACATTGTAAATATAAAAGGCTAAGTTCGAATAAACGACAATACAGAAAAATATTATCAAAATCATAACATTGTTATTGCCAATTTAAGCCATTGGCCAGTGTTTTGGTTGTTTTACTAGTGTTATCACCTGGTAAAATAAAAACGGTAATGTGTTTAATGACGCTAATTTTTATGTGTGTAGATTTCTAATTATTTTACTTAGTGATATATAATAGTTATTCTTTTTTGCACACTCTAAAATAATATTTCCGATAAAATTAATAGGTAAAGCGCAGAATATAAGCTCTTTGGCATGTAATATGCAATTTTGATTAAATAAAAAAAAAAAACATATATAAATGGGGTGTTCATTCTTCTGTTACAAAAACCGGCAGTAAATTGTACTTTATCTAAATTTTCATCAAATAAAATTCATAACCTACGTAAATTAAATATCAAATTGGAAATAATTTGAAGGCATAGAAATTCATTATATTCTTATTGCTTATACAATGCAAGCTGATTTTGAATTATTTTATTTTACTTAAAAACAGTTTCGGCAAAATGATCCGCAATTCATTGCGAAGCCAAGTTGTTGCTACAATCACAGAGACGATAATGCATTCTTAAGTTGCCAAAAGCGACGACGATCCACTAAATGAAATGTCGCTTTCAAATGAAAAACTGAAGTTATTGTTGTGATATGCTTTTATCCAAAAAGAATCCAAGAAACTTTATAATGTTCTCTTAACATTGCCCGCAGTTACGGAAAAAATTCTAAATTTAATCTCTGCGAATCTGACCGAAAAATCGTTGCAAAGCAAGTTTTACATTAACCGTTGCACTTTCAGAGGACTTTATGGCTTGGAGGCTATGGCGCATGTATAATTAAGTCGCATATTTAGTAGAAATACATATGAAAATACTACAAGCGGAATGCAATAAACTATTGACCTGACATACCCAACGTATGCCCTGCATGTAACGAGGGTCCGCACGACACTAACCACCTCCTCACATGTCCCTAAGACCAACTCCTCTAAACCCCTTTTTTGGTTTGGTCCAAACCCGTCGAAACAGCTTGATATCTGAACCTCTTAGATGACTTATACTAATCTTGCTGCTGAGGGCTAGTGAGCTGCTTCTACAACAACAGCACCTGTTATGCTGTCTGAATTCTGTTCCTCAATATTGTCACTGTCTGATTCTTATCGAACACAACTAATACAATATGTTACAGCATCAGAGAACTTGGAATAATACACGTTCTCTGGTAGCACTACACTCCCTAACGTCTGTGTTATCGATTAGCTCTGACCGAAGCAACCCTGATAGACAGAATAGATAGAGAACGTAACGTTAATATTTACGTTCTCTGTGTAAACTGCCGCAAAAAGCGTAAAAAAAGAAAGAGAAAAAGAAAAATTGTCGGAAATAGGAGACATTAAACAAAAGCGTGTAATTTGTTTAGAAATTTGGACATATTTTTGTTTAGAAAATTTACAATTCAGTAATATCTTTTGAAGCGCAATGGGCAAAGAAAAGAAGCAATTTAGTATTGGAGATTTAGTATTTGCTAAAGTTAAAGGTTATCCGGCTTGGCCAGCAAAAATAACTAAGTATAACAATAAGAAGTATAGCGTGTACTTTTATGGAACCGGGGAGACAGCAAATATCAAAGTAGAAGATCTTTTCCAGTATGCTGAAAGTAAAGAAAAATTCGCTACGGATAAAAATCTTAAGCGCTCCAATTTTCGTGAGGCTATTGAACAAATAGAAGCAGCATTGAATGGTGAAGACTCCGCCCCCATCGATTTGCCTGAAGCTGCTTTGGCGGTGGACGAAACGTTGGATGATGGAGCTGAAGGATTTGCGGACGTCGCTGGTGATGAGTCACATATTAATGAAAGTGGAATACAGGATGCTACCAACAAAGCTAATGAATATATGGTTGATGAATCGAAACCAATTAAAACAAGGGAAGAAAAACAAGTACCAGTTGTAACATCTACGACGGACAATATGGAGTTGGTTAGTCGAAGTGGGCGCAAAATCAAAACCAAACGGTACATTGATGAAGTACATGAAGGACCAAATCTATCCCATTCACCGCCTTCGAAAAAGAAAGTGCCAGCTGAAGGTAAATTCATAGGAATAACCGTCAATTATTGTGTTGATTGAAACAGAGTGAAATCGGAACAATATGTGTTAAATTAAATATAAATATAGATTCTCCACAATCGGGATTAGGGAGCACTTAGAAAAATTGGAAACATTCAGTTTGTATTAATTATGCTTCTACGACAGGAACGAGCTATGGAGGAATTTTCAAGAGCTCCTTATGAATGGAATGTTTGATACGAAACACTTAATGATTTATGTTATTTTAAGTGGCAAAAATGTTTCTCCCTAAATCCCTGTATAGAAAACTAATATATTATGAACAAGTAAAAAAAATTTAATTTATAACTTAATATATGTAAAAATATTTAACACATTCGTTATTTGTTTACAGGTGTTGGCGTAGATACGAAAAAAACGAGTAAGAAGTCTAGCAGTTCCTCTAAGCCCACAGCCACCATATCACCAAACTTAAAAACTTCTGGCTGTAATAAAGCTGAGATCTATAACAATCTTCTATTAGCCTTTGTGCCACCAGCTAAGTGTGTTGGTATCAAATTAGACTATGGAAAGCCCGAATCTTTTACAAGCACTGCTGAACGTGCTAAATGGGAAGAAAATTCTCGGAAAGAAGCAGAAGATTTGAAGGAGAAATTGGAAATAGGTCAAATAAAACTGGAAACGGTGAAAGATCGTGTGATTGTAAACCCGCCACGATCGAAAATTCATCAAGATGCTGCAAATAGATTTACCAATCAAATGATTGAGCAGGAAGACGCACTTTTCATCGAAAGGGACTTTATACAAATGTCGCAACAATTACGCGAAAGCTTAGGTCTGAAAAGCGCAGATGTGGAGCGATGCGTTGATTTGCTTAAGCAGTATAAAGATTTCGAACTAACGCAGTTAATGTTATTGCGAAATCCCGATTGTGTTGATATCATTAGACGCTTACGACGGTATGTTGGCAATTTAAAAGAATGGTCTTTAAGTAATGAGGAAGAAAATGAATTTAGAGCAAAAGCAGAGATCATTCGCAATGAAGCTGTATATATTTACAATTACTTTAAAAAATTATTTGAAATTCCAACGGATCAACAATTCTGGGAGCCTTTCTGTGATCAAGTAAAAACCTATAAGGAGTGCACAAAACATATTAGTGAACAAAATCGCATCACAATGAGCGAGAAAACTTATATAAGTATTCGTTCTAATTTCGATAAAGATGAGAAGTATGTCCAAGGGAAAGGGCCAGACCCTAAAGACGATGTCGAAAAGAAAAGCATAACCGAAGATAACCAAGGAGATGATGGTGAGAAACCATCTATGTTATTCCCTGAAAATGATGGCGTAGAAATGGATGATGCCACTGAGGGCACAGTACTTGAATCCAATCGTTCTTAAGTTTTCTTCTGCTCTGAAAAAAATATCTTATTACTGATGAATTGGTCTTTACATTGTTGGATATCTATTTATAAAAAAAATATTCATAAATCTGTACTGTATACATTACTGTGTATATGATTCAAAAGATTACTATCCCGATTTTTATTCCAAGTATAATATATATGGCGTCCCTATGGATGCATAAATATAATTACATACATCGTATATTTTATATTAAAACGTACAGTACGTACAGATTGACTTTCATATTACTACTTTATATAAAATCAACATAAGCGGACCATTCGATTTGTTGTTGGTATATGTTTCAGGATTTGAGTCTAACATCCTATGAATTATTTGCGAAAACTCGTAAATTTACATATTTGGTCTGATATATTAATATTCATAAATGCATATAGGATTGTAATTTTCATTCTTACGTAATAATAAAAAAATTCATAAAAGGAAACAGAACTTATCATTTAGACATCCGACGGCCCACTAATTCGCCAAATTTTGGTAGGATAGTTCAAAATACTATCATAACATAAATCTATCTTCCAACACCTGAATCATTGTGTCAAAGGTCTCAAAAATTGTTTTGTCTTCTATATTCAACCCCTTAGATGTACAATTCCTGAAAATTCATTATCGGCCAACGTCACACGCAGATACGCCATCAAAGTTTCATTTCTCTACGATAAATGATTTAGGCTATGCGCTGTTTGGAACAGTCATTCATGTAGAGTATACTTGTTTCAATTGTTTTTTAAAATGAACCATCCAAGGGACCTTCAACATAGTGCGAATTATTGTAACTTCAGTTTGTTTCTTTTTTTTTGTTTAACTTGGCTGCTAGGCTAAATTATAACTATTATACATTACAAATTCATTAATAGTAAGTAATAACCCAGCCAGCCAACACACTTTCTCCTTAAGTTCAAAAAATTTACAAACACTCGTAACTTTTTGAATACTTCACCCACAGTTACAATTTTTGTATTCAAATTGTCAATTTCACTAATTTTTTAACTTTTGTTGAATTTTCGTTGAAAATTTATTTTACTTCACTGTGAAAAAATAGCTGCACAAAGATTTTAAAACCTTACAATATTAATTTAAAGGTAAATATAATGTTGTAAATTAATATGATGTATATACTTTCATACTTTCGATTGCAGCTTGAAATTGAATTTCTTTGCAGTCGCTACGGAGCTACATTGCCTGATGATTTTAGTTAAAGTAAATGAATTTAATAAAAGAAAATGTGCAGTGCTATAATATTGAAACATATTACAAAACATTTTTTTCCCGAATTGCCTGTACATTAAATTGTATAAATTTTTTTATATGTTTTAATTTGAATACTATAAAGAACGATTTATTTAATTAGCTCTATATATACAATAATTAAAAAAAATTATATAAACTTGAATTAAATTGTTTAAAAAGATTAATTATAATTTATTACAAATAATAAAAACCTGACAAATAATATTGTTGATTGTTGTAGTTCTTGATATTGATAAAAGTTAAATTCTTCAATTAAATTAAATTGATTGCACCTTAACGAAATTGATGAGCTTCAACAGAAGAAATCGCTGTTCAAAAATTGGTTTTATTTCGGATTGAATCGATTTGATTTCGATTGATTTTAATAATTTAAATTTTTGAAAATTTAGTGTAAATTGATTAATCACTATATTTGTTAATTGTTTCGATACGCTGATCTTGCTAAAACTGATGTTTTAATGATCGTAGATAATATTTAATGAAAATTGAAATTCGACCGCAGAGCTCAGTAAAATTATTTGTATGTAGCTTGAAAATTCGATGAGCAGGATCGCCAGTTATATAGAGAGCGACTTATTTAATTAGCTCCATATATATATAAATTAATTTTAAAATATTTATAATCATTTTATTTTTTAATAAAAAATAGTTCTTAAAAATTTGAAAGTGAATATTATCATTCAGTATAATGAAGTAAAATTAAAATATTTGAAATTAAAAAATCAGTAACATAAAAATTTAAAAATTGTGAGTTACAAATGTTAAAATATATTCCTACGGGTACTAATTGAGGTTTAGAATTTTTCTTTTCATTCCAGACCTCACCACACCAAACACAGGAATAAAATAAACCTCAGCAGCAACATAGTTCTATAAGCTATATTTAATTGTATTAATGTGTATTTTAATTTTTTTACTTTTGTATAGAATTAATGTAAAGTGTTTATTTTCATTTCTAACATATGTGTACAAAAGAAACAAACACAAAAATACAGAGAAACAAAAATAAAATTTCAAACATTTGTTGACATTTATAAATATTTTTATTCGAATGAAACAAACTATCAATATCCCATTGGCTGGCAAATAAAATTTGAATTGAATAATTGTAACAGGGATGTATGATCAAACATACAAGGGGAATGTGGGTAAAATCTGCACGGTCTGTCAGAAATCCCCTATGCTGTTACCCAGTCTTTTAACTAGTTTTGAGCAAACGTTTGCTCAAGTTATATAATTTTCTACTCATTTTCTTGGCAATTGCTTTCTCAAGTTGTCTAGTTTTTTTACCCAGGTTTGGTTAGCAGGGAACATGCTACTTTACATAAAACAATTACATTTTAACATAACAAGTTATTTGGGTCAATCTTTTGCGTCGCCGATTCCATCAGGCAAAATGGCAAATGTGGCTTCACTTTCGGGTAAACATGGTGAACTGTATATTTTGCAAATTCGACTTTCCCCACGTCCTTTACGTAAATATAGCCTAGTTGTGGAAGCATGAGCGATAATGTTACCGCCAATGGGTTTTTTAGTATCTGCAGCAAACATAGCTGGTCCACTGTCGACTTGGGCAACGACCTGATTCGTTATAACAACGGCGACTCCAAACTTTAAATTAGAACCTTTAATTTCTTTAAATTGAAAAAGATAATACTTCTCGGAATGTTACCTCATCGGCTAAACGCAACAACAGACGTAGAAATCGTGCCAAATGCATCTGTCGTGCTGATAATTCTCCTCTACCAACGTAATCTGTACGATATAAAGCAGTTGCACTATCGACTACCAGAAGGGCATATCTAACAAATATAAAGTACATTTATTTTGTGTTGTATGTAACCAAAAAAGTTATAATTACCGCGATTCCACCATCATAGCTGCGGCTTGTGTCAGCAATTGCGTTTGATGATCTGTGTTGTAAGCGCGGGCACATGCCACATTGTCCAGAACCTTCAAATTATGTTATACATATTCTTATTTTTATTTTATAAATTTAAATTTATGGTAAAAAAACACACTTCTTCCTTCACGAGTTTAAATCGTTCCGCAATGGCTGTCAGACGTTCCGGTCGAAAAGTACCCTCTGTATCCATATAAATACATTTGCCTTCTCCGCCATTTCGACTTATTGGTAGTTGGCACGTTACAGCTAATGTATGACATAATTGAGTTTTCCCGCATCGAAATTCACCAAATATTTCAGTTATAGAACCAGTTTCGATACCTCCACCTAATAACTTATCAAGCTCCTTAGAACCTGTTGTAAGCATTACGATTTCTGTCCGTTTCTGATAAATAGATGTGGCAGTGGTGAATCCCATAGGCACCAGCTTTACAGCTTCAGTTAGAATTTTATCAGCTTTTGTATCCGAAAATCCGCGAATTTGTAATAAAAGCTTTTTTGGCGAAAACGCGACAGACTCAACTGTATGGAAACCGGCCTCTTGTAGTCTTTTAATATCATTATTAGAAATTCCATTTACCTAAAATTTAAGATAGTGGGTTTTTAAGAAAAAACATTCAGTCTCTTGCTACAGCAGTCACCTCTAGCTTTGTGATAGACACAGGCCCAAACTCGTCTTCCAACTCCATTGAACAATTTGCTATTGCAGCCGAAGCTACGGTCTCTTGTTGCCCCATATAAGACATGATTTTAAAATATTGTTTGTTTTAACAAAGTTTACCTTCATACATATATTAATGTAATTTGCAAAACGTTTCCAAATAATGTTGAAGGTACTTTTTTAGCTTAAACTCGCGCCAAATAACGTACATGAGTGAATGAATGAGCTCGTACGAATACCAGATATACGTTCTCTGGGCTTACGTTCTTTGAATGAGTGTGTGAATTACGTACTTGTAACCAAATGAGTTGACTGAACGACCACTACCTACGTTTTAAGTAACCTTAAAAATTACATAAAAATACGGCATGATTATTCCTCAGCCCTGAAATTTGTGGAAGCAGAAAATTAATATTATAAAATTGTAAAGGACTATTATGTCCAGCTACATTCATCTGGACGTGGAATTGTGAGTTACATTGTGTTGTACATGTTCAAAACATTAACATTATTACGGTGAAAATCTTTCCTTGTCATAATAGGAAACTACGTGACGAAAACAAAGCTATTGTGACTCCAGCTTACTTTCTAGGAAGCATAGAAGACTCATTGCAAAATTTTTTTGGCGAGATAGGAGGCCAAACTGATTTAGAGCTAATAAAATTTGACAAGGGTCAAAAACGTGCTATTGTTCGCGTACAAGAAGAATTTATTTTGCGTATTCGTTCCGCTATTACGCTTATAGGATACTTTCAAGACATTCCATGCCACTTCATAATAAAAAAATCTTCTAAAGAAAAGCTTGATTTTTAACCGATAAAAAAGGTAAAAAGTTTTCATAATGTCATACTGCAAGGTATTTGGCAAAGATAAGGTATGCTTTGTAACCAAAGAGGATCACACGACACCGAGCTCGATTGATTTGCCACCGCCAGATCCTCCACAAGGCCTTATAACAAGCGATGGTGAAATTAATTGGAGCTGTCCATGTTTAGGTGGAATGGCGACGGGACCATGTGGGGTTGAATTTCGCGATGCATTTTCATGCTTCCACTATAGTAAAGCAGATCCCAAAGGGTCAGATTGCTTTGAAGCCTTTAGAGCAATGCAGGATTGCTTCCTACAATATCCCACAGTATACAATAAATCAAGTGGAAATGAAGAGGACGACGATGATCATAGTTTAAACATAGCAAACTTGGATGAAAGAGATACAACTGGTATACTAAACAGCGCAGATATAACAGACTCAACCTTAGCAAATAAAGATAATTAATGTTTTCATGTACAAATATTGACATAAAAGTATAGCAACTCAAGTTCATATTTTAGTAGCATATTTACTGTCACTGAGTTAAAACATTGTTATTTTAATGTTAATTTGAAAATAAGTATTTCATAATTGCTTTTTATTATAATAAAGCCCTCTTTTTTTCTTGCAAGATATTACCGGAGCTTGAAAACAATTCAGGACACGTAATTAATTTAGACGTCTACTAAGGACAGGAATTTTCAATTTTTTTTTAAATATTTTTGTAAAAAAAGTCGTAGTACATGGACATGTCTTTTATTGAACGGCCTTTGAAAATCCACCAATTGGATACCTATATAGTTTTTATTTAAAACGAATGGAAATTATAATAAAAGTATGAATTTGTAACTAATTTTCTAAAAAATATTAAATTTATTTAATAGCGATAAAAATTGCTTCCCTAATAAATTTAAATACAGAAAAGTAATCCTGCTCACAGTTTCTTCAGTGAATAAGTTTTTTTTACTATTAAAATACTATGTAAAAAGGTCGTTGTAGAAGATTAACCTCTATGAACTTTTGCGCCTGCAAGCTAACTTGTAATCCTTAATATCTTATATATAAAAATCTAATGTCCGTTTGAAAAAATAAATTAAACAGGAATCTGACTCAACCCGAAAAAGCTCCACTACAGCTATTAGGATTTATTAAACTCAAAAGTTATGAATATGATCGTCGGGTAAATCAATCGCTCAGCTGTAACCCATAATATCTTATAAATAAAAATCTAATGTCCGTTTGAAAAAGTCCAGTAATCTCCAAAAGCTACCAAGAAATTGACTTGAAATTACTAGAGATTGTTTCTATAATTCCTGGGAAGGTTAATAAATAATAAAGGTGATTTTTTAGCTTTTATCTGGTAGCACTGGTTTAAAAAGCTGACGCACGTTTCGTGTTTTGTATCACCAAAGAACGTATGTATATTAATATATGTTCTTTGCAGCTGTATATCATTTTATCAAAGAAGTTCTGAGAAAAAATCTACCGGTCCTATGGTATATTCAGAGAACGTATTGTTACGATTTTACTAAATCAACCTCGATTATTTTCTAGATCCTTCGGGTACGATCTCTGGAATGTTAAATAAAAACTCGCCAACTTAATTTGCAGTTTCTTTATAAGAATTTATCTAATGTCTTTTATTTACTCCGTAATTCACAATNCGAAACAATATATTATTATAAAAAATATTAAATTATTATACGTTCTCTGGTATAATAACGTTTCTGTCAGATATATGTACAGCGATACAACTCTGAGTTTTACTACGTTTCTTTCGTTAATTCGCTTTCATTTCGTTCAGTTCGTGATGGTTCGTTCAGAATTTATTATTTCCTAATTTTTTATTCTCTTTTGATACCACCTTCGTCATTGTGGAATAAAGAGAAATAAATCTAAAAAAAATTAAGAAGAAAACTAATTGCATCGTATCAAAATGGGTTTAAAATGCGTGGAAATTATGCTGTTTATATTTTAAAAAGGAAAAAAATGGAACTTTAAAAAATTTTGGTTCACAAATTTAAAGCACAGCTTTGCTATAAAGTGAACAAAACACAAAACACAAAATACAAAACAGTGGAAAATTACCTGAAATTTGGAGGCAATATATAAAAAACAATAGAAGGTGGTTAATATACGAGAATATTCCCAGTTGTCTTTGTCACCAGTTTCAAAATTCCACGGATTTTACTTTATTTAGACATTGTGAAGAGTGGAAACATTAAATAACTTAGAGTTTAATATAAAACCATTCGACAGAATTCAAAAGAAAGCCCAATTACCATCAGCCACCAGTGTCGTGAGTGTGGAATTGTTTTCTTTTATCAGCCTATTTAGCCTCATAAAATCAGTGGACATTAATACCAAACTACCAACAACTTGATTGAATAATAGTCTTCAGTAAGCTTCAAACTATTCAAATAAAAAAAGTGAATTGTGTTTTTATATTTAAATTTTTGAATAATAGAAGGTTTATGCCTTGAACCGAAACTTTTTCCAAAAATATATCCTCTGACATTTAACAGCCAAAATTTGAAAAAAACTATCAAAATTGAGATTAGATACAGCTCGGTAAAAGTGTGAATTAAATAACTAACATAAATAAAAACACATTTAAAACAAAATGGTCGCAATTAGTTCAATTATAAATACAGAAGGTAAAATGAAAACAACTACAGCTGTTAATTCAGCTTCCAATACGATGTTGACCAGCGGCAAGCCAAAAGAAAAAAGAAGGCAAGTACATTTATAGAATTATATATGCATTAGGTCTTCTGTATTCTTATGTTGAAATGAGTAAGAAGCATAAAAAGGACAATAAATTTTAGGGAAGCTAGGGATGTATAAAAATACAACATCCCAACTTTTTCCCTCTTTATTGATTGTGTTTTAACATTGCGATGTTCTACTAATCAATCAATTACCCATCTTACATAACTCACGGCCGTGCGACCCGGTTGGAAGAGAATATACAAATAAAATTAAAAATTTTCTACGGGACAACCGTCAGTATCGACATCGGCAAGCAGATACAACTTTTCATTTATAAGACGCTCTACATAAGATGAGTTGCTAAGGCTGGGAAGTATTTAAGATGAATAGTTGTAGTATTAGGAATGCTGTAAGATATGGGACTCACAGATATCAGGTAGTAGCTGTAACATCCTCCTCCTTTTTCTTACTGCCCCTGCACTTTCTTTTAATATGTATATGATTGGATTGTACCCCAATATTTTCCTGCAAGGCTATTATATACCACTAACATACTAATTGCCTTATTAATCCTATAGTGCAGTTTCCAAACTAAATACCTAGGTGCATGCATGTGCAAGTGGTAGAAGTGACATCTGTTTAAGAGATCACCACATCTCCTCATCAGACTTCTTATGACAGGGATCGAATCAACGGATCCTGACCTAACAGGCGAGTGTTCTACCACTGCGCCAACATCAGCCATATAATCTGTTGTTGTATTATTCAATTCATTATTAACCAACAACTATTAAGTGCTATTTTTGTTTGTTGTATATCAAATGCGGTAGCATCCCAATAGGAACTGCTTGCACAGCAAAGCATTATGCTTCTTAACTCGTAGCATATGATTCTCCGGCGACATCAGGAGGTTTCCTGTCGCGGTCCTGAAGGTGGTGTTCTGGCAAGCCTGTAACTTCTGCGTCTCGTTCGTCCCCGGCGCCCAGATCGGTGCAGCATAGTTTACGACCGGCCGGCCAATTGCTTTATAAGTAGCCAGCAAAGTTTCTTTGTCTTTACCCCAGGTGCTACCGGCTAGCGATTTGAGTATTTTGTTGCGGCTCTGGAGTTTCGCGGCTATTGCGGTCGTATGCAGAGTGAAGGAGTGCAGGCTGTCTAGGGTTACTCCCAATATTTTTGGGTTATTTACCGTCGGAATGTTTGTGTCATCGACCTTCACTTCACATCTAGTTCAAGCCTGTACTCCTTCGTCCAGCTGGTGAAGAGGGTAGCCGAGGTGGTGAAGAAGTGGGAGAGATCAGCGAGGTAGCCGTTCCTCGGTTTAAGTAGCGGGACCACCCTACCCATTTTCCACACATCGGGCATCTTCAGGGTGGTCAGAGACAAACTGAGGACCCTCGTGAGAAATTCTGCTCCCGCTGGTCCAGGGTGTTTCAACATCTGTATGCTTATTCTGTCGGGGTCGATGGATTTGAAGGCTTTCGCTTCGCGATGGCTCCTTAAATCTCCTCCCTGGAGAAATCAAGCACCGCGATGGTGTTTGGCAGTTTGCGCATACGGCGGGTTACACGTCGTTTCGCTTTGTCTACCGAGGGATGCAGTGTGAAAAGTTGGCTAAAATAGCTCGCGCATCACTTCGGATCCGACGAGGCGCGATCACCGAATGAAATTTCCACCCGGTCACCTTTTCCGCTTGTGATTGTTGACTACTCTTCGAATCTCCGCGTTTAAATCCTCGGGATTGGAGCTTCGGAGGGTATCCCGCCTGGATGCTAATACCGCCGCTTCTGTCGGAAAATTTGGGCGGATTTCAGCGATTCGGCCTGCCGGGATGAAGCGGACGGCAGCGGTCACGATGACCCTGCGGAATAAACGTTCACCAGTGGTGACGTCTGATAAAGTGGGAAGAGCACTAAAGGCGTTCTCAGTAAATTCCGTGAATCCGGGCCAGTTAGCTTTTTTAAAGTTAACAAATGTCCGGTGGTCCGCTGAAACAAAGTCGGGAGGCCTGTCAATCGAGATTTGTATGGGCAAGTGGTCCGATGCTAACGTCAGTATAGGTCGCCAGACTAAACTGTTTATCAGACCAGCACTCGCAATTGTTATGTCTGGTGAGCTTTGGCAATCCCCAATACTCGGGTGGGAGTGTTTTCGTTTATTGTGCAGAATGTCGAATCATCTATCTGTTCTGCCAGCTCCATTCCTTTACGGTCATTTGACAGGCTAGACTGCCAAAGATCGTGTTGTATCCGCCCCGGCTCAGAAGATCTGATCGGGCATTCAACTTGGTTTCCTGGATCGCAGCAATTGACAGGTGCTCCCGACTTATGTATTCGAACATCTCGTCAATCTTTCCCTGGAGTCCGTTACAGTTAAATTGTAAGAGTCGGGTCTGTCTCGGGGGAACGTTGGTGATACAGGGGGTGAGGGAGTGATGCGTGGAGGGTGTGTGTTGCTGCTGTATTACCCGCGAGGGTTGGTTCCGCACGGTGGTGTTAGTTGGCGGAGGGTTTATCGAAACATGCGGGGGCAGACTCCTTCAGCACGGGGCAACATACGCATTGCTCCACTCACGGGTGGTGCGCAGGCCAGAGCACGTCTTAAAGTGGCACCAGCCAGAGAAAAAGTTGCATTTGACCGAGGTCACATTCCGACGCACTCTGGTCTGACACACGGAACAGTCAGTGCGGAGGACTAGGAGCTGCTGGGTAGCACTCGCACGGGGGGAGGATGAGGAGCTGGCTGTGGGTAGGGATGGGGGTAGAGGTTGGAGGGAAACATGCTGCGGGGAGCTCCGTGAGACCATGGAGGTCTGCGGATTACCCAGAGTGGGTACACGTGCTGAAGGCACTGCCGTGGAGGCTGGGGTGGGCGGTTGGACGCTGGCAGCATGGGGCCACATAACTCGTGGTCCATTCCCTGTGAGTCTTAAGGCCTGAGCAGGTCTTAAGATGACTTCAACCATTGCACTGTTTCCGAGGTGGAGGAATGGCGGAGTCTTCTGTGAAACACGCAGCATAAATAGTCCGTCGGTCCAGGGTTGGTTTCTACACCAGCGTGTCATGCAAGTTAAGCTCTTGCATTTTGAGCAAAAAAAAGGTTGATATCATCTCGATAGCGCTCACCATTCACAGTTACGTTACGAGTGAGATAACTGAACTTTATATTTGAAAAACGGCGATAGGAAAAAGATGGGATATAGGATCGAATATCGTG